TCTCTCCCAAATCCCACCAAAGCAACTAATGCTAGGGAGGAAAATGAGAGGAAGAACGAAAGAAGAACACGAAGAACTCCAAGATCTAGATCCAAGGGGTTGCCCTCACTTAGAGGAGAAAGTGATTGGTGGAAACGTGGATCTAGATCTCCTCTCTCTTTCCCCTCAAGAACTAGCAAGAATCATAGGAGGGATTGAGAGTTAGCAAGCTCGAAGAGGGTCAACAATGGAGGAAGAACACGAGCTCAAAGGATAAGGTTCAATGGGGAAGAAGACCCCCTTTTATAGGAGGGGGAAAATCCAACCGTTATGCTCACAACCCACACAGAGCGGTACTACCGCTCGTCCTCACGGTACTACCGCTAGGGATCGCGGTACTACTGCTTGCGGTACAAAAAAATACTTCCGTACCTACCTCCGCAGGACTTGGGACGAGTTTTTTGGTCCAGAGCGGTACTACCGCGGCTCCTACAGCGGTAGTACCGCTCTGGAGCGGTAGTAAAAAATTACATCCGCTCCAATTCGCGGTAGTACCGCTGCAGCCTTTTCAGAACACCAAAACTGCCACAACTTTTGCAAACGGACTTCGAATTCGATGAAACCAAGTTTGTTGGAAAGATAGCGACAAGGGCTAACACAATCTTGAAAGAAATATCAATAAGAAGCAAATTAGAAAGGTCCCATAAGAAAATGGTGAGAACCCTTCCTCGAATAAGACCGGTAAAACCTCCAACACCGAAAACATCATAGAAGACGCATGCGAACTCCGTTTTTGATGAACTCAAGCTTGTCATCAAGATGACCATAAGCTCTAAGACTCACAAAGATAACCAAACAAGAACCAAGAAACATGATGCAAGGATTCAATGGTTTGAGCTCTCTACTAACGATACGATCAAGCTACCAACTTGAGAGCCCCCCTTGATAGTACGGCAAACGATCCTATAACCCGGTCTTCCAAATACCACCACGAGACCGGTAAAATAGAAAACCTATCAAGGCCAAACCTTTGCCTTGCACATGGTCCACTTGAGCTAGATGATGACGATCTTGACTCCCTCAAGATAGACCACCTTTCTTGATTGCGTTGGCTCGATGAAGACTAGATGATTGCTCCCCCATAGTCCACTATGGGTGAGTCACTCTTCGGCACATCTTCACAAGTCCATTGACACCATAATGGATGGCAAGATTCAAGCACTTGATCTCTTCGTGATGCTCCACTTGAACTTGCACACGGCAATCTTGATGACAATCACCACTTGATGTCATCCTTTCCATGGGTTGTATGATATCTTCCTCTTGACGCAAGCCCATGGACATGTACCTAACCCCATATATAACTCTCACATAGACCATGGGTTAGTACACAAAGTGCAATGGACAATGCTTACCATACCATGGGATCACTTGATCCCTCTTGGTACAGCTTCTACGCTTTGTGAGTTGATCAACTTGATTCACTCTTGACTTAGTCTTGATCAACTTGATTCACTCTTGACTTAGTCTTGATCAACCTTGAATCTTTCCAACTCTCTTCATTTGGATGATGTCTTGAAGTTAAACATCAATGATCACACAATCTTCTTCTTCAAGACATGCTTGCAATAAGCTCAACACTCACATGACCAATCTTTGGATAATCCTTAGTAGCACCTTGGTCAACTCATAAACTCCTTGAAACCAACACATGGACTTCAAGAAAAGCCTATGGACAAATCCTTCAAATATAACTCAAGACAACCATTAGTCCATAGAGATTGTCATCAATTACCAAAACCAAACATGGGGGCACCGCATGTTCTTTCAGTTTGGATGAAGACCAATTTTCTAACAAGCCAATGTTTGCTTACCAATTCTAATATATTTTCTAGTCTAAATTGATCAAAAGCATAAATCTGAACTACTCCCTCGTCCCATAATATAAGAGCGCTCATATTATGAGACGAAGGGAGTAAAATTTAAAACTAACTTTCGATACCCCTACAAATACCCTAGTAGTGTATAAGAGCATCTCTAGCAGACCATGTATATCGTCGACCCGCAAAACTCATTTACAGTTCACGAAAAACGGTTTTGCAGGCCGGCGCGAGCGTTGACCGAGCATACCCCGCATAGCGGAATTGTAAAACAGAATATCACGGATATTCCATTTTACAGTTCTGCTATGGGGTGTCTGCTCTGCTGGCGCCCGTGCCGGCCCGCATATCAGAGGCATTTTTATCAGAATTTGACATATATGCTTCATATTCTGAATTACTAATTTAATATAAGAAAAAATATCAATATTACAATACATCAATCATCCAAATTACAATAATTATTCAAATCACCGAAGCAAACTAAATAATTCAATAGAAAACTTGTCCCGAAGACAAATCACACATAAATTGAATGAAATGAATGGGAAAAAGGAATGTGTTACTGCCCAGTCCTGTGCCAATGGTGCTCAATGAGATCCTTCTGAAGCTGAAAGTGGGTGTTTGCATTTTCAATCTCCCTGTAGATCTAAAGAAAAGCTCTAATATGGTTAGGGTCTCTAGCTGGTTTGACACGGCTACCCACATTGTCGTAGAAGAACTCCAAATTCATGCCTCTCTCATCTTCGAGAATTATATTGTGAAGAATAACACATCATGTCATGATGTTTTTCATGGATCGTTTGTCCCAAAAACAAGCAGGACAGCGAACAATGGCAACCCTAGATTGCAAAACCCCGAATACTCTTTCAATGTCTTTTCGGGCTGCCTCTTGTACCCTTGCAAATTCATACTGTTTCCTAGTTTGGGGGTCTTTGATGCTCTTGACAAATGTGCACCAAGAAGGGTAGATACCATCTGCAAGATAGTACCCCTTTGTGTATTCATGCCCATTGATAGTGTAGTTGCAAGCAGGAGCATCAACACTATCAAGCCTAGCAAACAAATGAGACCGTTGCAACACATTGATATCATTGAGTGTACCCGACATACCAAAAAAAGTAATGCCAAATCCATAGATCCTCGGATGCTACGGCCTCTAGCACAATTGTTGCATCACGAGACATGCCATAATACATTCCCTACCATGCCTTCGGGCAGTTTTTCCAAGCCCAATGCATACAATCAATGCTTCCTAGCATGCCAGGCCAACCTCTTCTCTCACTAGATGCCATCAATTTTTTTGTGTCTTCCCTATTGGGTGCCCGAAGATATTCAGGACCAAATACACGGATGATCACTTTGACAAACCTACACACTGACTCAATTGTAGCATCTTCACCAGTGCGAAGGTACTCATCGACATAGTCAGCCGGAATGCTGTATGCAATTACTCGCATAGCTGCTGAGATTTTTTGATATGCACTAAATCCCTTCAAGCCCGCGCCATTTCTTCTTTTAGTAAAATACCGACAATTGGCCTCGCAAGCTTGCACTATTTTTACAAAGAGGGATCGACGCATTCGATACCTTCTCCGGAAGAGGTGCGACGGATATGTTGGATTGTCCGCGAAGTAGTCTTGCATCAACATCTCGTTCCCGAGATGGTGATTTTGAGGAATGCAAAGACGGCTGACGGTCGATCCTCGCCGTCTCTTTCGGTTCTCATCCTCGCACTCCTTCACGGCGAGGTCCATCACGAACTTCGCTGTCGATAGTTGACAAGAAGCGTTTCAACATCCGAGTCGTCCGAATCGGACGAATCCTCGAGTAAAAACTTCTCACAGGGGCTCAATTCCATCTAAATTCACAAATACGAACGCCACATTAACGAACTAGCATACCACATCCCAAAGCACAGGCACAAGTACTCACCGGCGGCTCTGCGGTGGTGGATCCCGGGGCGGCGATGATGACTAGGGTCGGCTCAGGGCGGTGGCTCTGTGGCGGTGGATCCCGGGGCGGCGACGGGGACTAGGGGCG